GCATCACTGACAAGGGGGAACCACCCCGGAAAATCTGGATGAACTTTCTCGGCCAATGAAGGGATCGAACACCCAACCTCCAGGTTGGCGAGTCAGCGTCTTACCCACTTACCCACCGTGGCACCACAGAGTGCGGAATAAAAGGTATATGACATAAAAGAATTCTCTTTAACTCTTTGAAAAACAATTTATGTCTTCATTCTTCGACTAATACATCGGATTTTATTTTTCTCACTTGGATTGCTGGAGTGTGTAAGGGCAGTGTCCGCCGTGAGGAACGATATTGTTATCACGTAATAAAAAAAAATATTTCATCTATGAATGAGGAAGGATAGTTGTCTACTTTGGTGTGGGGAAGGATATTTCCTGCCTTAGTTTAGTTGTGAGGTGGGACAGGGGTGTGAGGAATAACCGACAGAGAGAGATGGGGTTTAACGTCCACTCGACACAAACTAGGTCATTTCGTAACTAACATATGGTTCAATTTTATTTCAATAATTCACTTGCTTGCGCGTAGGGGTCTCCACCCCTTGTCACGTACAACCGGGGAATCGAAACCACGCCAATTAACTCAATGACAGACCTTATGATACAACGCACACGCGCTAAACATTCGCCCCATCCCTTTCACCACCCCACACTCCCAAGGAAGAACAGAGGGCATACTGTGGGAAAAGGGTACATTATGAAGTAATATACACCCCCGCAAATAATATCTTTGTAAATACAGAACGGATATATGCTAGGTTCCCCACTGTCGTGCGATGCGTTACTATGGGATTGTCCCTAGGGAGTCCACGACCTTGTACGTTCGGATATGTTTCGATACCGTCAACACGATTGCTACAACTGGCCACCATATATGATAAGACCTGATAGGATCACCACGATTACTCCACGATTAAAACCACGATTTAGAGTTCCAGCTATCACAATTTGAAATTGCGTCATTTCAAGTGATAACAACAAATGTTTTATTTGTTTTAGCAACGGAAGCCAAGTTTAAAAGGGCGACCAATATTCAGCCTACGGTGACTAGTCTAGAAGTAAAACCCGCTAGAAGTTCTATAGAGTGTAGTCTACAGTGTTTATACGATTATACATGCAGTGGATACACGTATACAGCAGGTGCGTGTCAATTAAATAGAGATGGCGTGACGAGCACCAACGTATTAACCACTTATGTTAGAAACATACCAGTACAAAATGAACCTATTAGGGTTACCTAAACGGTTATTTATTTAAAATGACTATAGTGTCATTGATGTTGAATTTAACATGACAGATATGCGAGCGTATGTATAACACAAACGCAGAGTTAAATCTCTAAAATTTGGGACCTAGAAATTGACACAAATGGGTCGCAACGCATATAATAATGTAATATGAATGTATATAAACTGATTTACGTTCAATCGTTTCTGTTTTTACTGTAATTTCGAATCAGTTATCAGTTATCTTCGGCGAAATACGCCAGAAGTCTCAATCGAATGGCAATCTTTTCCGTCTGGTTATTCCAGTCTACACTGATAGTATTTTTTGCGCGTGCTCTCCAGATATGACTTGACATGACCCGTGGAATATGTTTAGCCTCGTTCTTCGAGTCGTTGTTACAAATGGCGCTGAAACGCATAATGGTACACTAATCTTGAAAACGTGCAACACAAATTTCGGAAGTATTATTATAAATATCTGCCATTCCAGAATCAGTAGAAGCGCTCCCGGAACACCCCTCCAGAAATGCGAATCGAGTAAACAACAGGAAAAAATATGGTTGGGGTTTTGTTGGGGGGGGGGGGTATTTTTTATTTTTATTTATTTTTAGAAATGGGGTTTAGCACAACTCGACACAGACTAAGTCAGCTCGGGACTAACATATGGTTCAATTTTATTTCAATCATTCGCTTGCCTCTAGGGGTCTTTATCAGTGGGAGGAAACCGGGGGACCCGGAGAAAACCCACAAGGTTGGACAGACGACCCTACAACCGGGGAATCGAAGCCACGCCAGTTTACAGACCTAAAGATATAACGCGCACGTGCTATCGATTCGGCCACTCCCTCCCCCCAAATATGGTTCATAGAACCATTACCACTGACATCATATAGGTCAATGTTATCTTGTGTTGCTATCTTCCGAAATGTTGTCTTCTCTTTTTTCTGGGCCGTGCTGTAAGAGAGCAATAGGGTCCAAATCAAGTTTGCGGTAGATTTCTTCAGTTTCAGGAAGATGACAAATCGAGTCGGCCCCGGGATAACATTGCGCGGGTCATAGGTCACGTTTACCACCCATACCACGGACTACCGATGTTTTCGTTAAACAAAATGTCGGTTCTCTTCCATCTTCCAGTACAGAAAGAAGAAGACAAATCGCCTCGGCCCAGGGATAACATTGTACAGGTCATAGGTCACGTTTACCTCCCATACCCGCTCCTTACCACGGACTACCGATGTTTTCGTTAAACATAATGTCGGTTCTCTTCCATCTTCCAGTACAGAAAGAAGAAGACAAATCGCCTCGGCCCAGGGATAACATTGTACAGGTCATAGGTCACGTTTACCTCCCATACCCACTCCTTACCACGGACTACCGATGTTTTCGTTAAACAAAATGTCGGTCCTCTTCCACTTCCAGTACTGAAAGAAGAAGACAAATCGAGTCGGGCGCGGGATAACATTGTACAGCTCATAGGTCACGTTTACCACCCATAACCACTCTTCCATCTTCCAATACAGAAAGAAGAAGACAAATCGAGTCGGCCCAGGGATAACATTGTGCGGATCATAGGTCACGTTTACCTCCCATAACCGCTCCTTACCACGGACTACGGTTAAAGCGAAAGTCAGTTTTCCTCCATCTGGTATCGTGTATGTAATTGTACCATATCTACTGTAACATGTGTTGTGTCACCAGGTGTTCTAGGAAAAGTAAGCAGACCCTGGCTCGTGTACATCACTTATCACTAGTTATATCTCAATAGCAAGTGGTACCAGGTGTTCTAGAAATAATAAACACGCCTTTCTCGGGTACATCAGTCACCACTACTTATAGCTCAATAACAAGTAGTTGTATCGGGAAATGAAATCGTGTTTAACGTCCTACTGTTCTGTGCGACAGGGCTAATGAAGATGGGCATACGCCTACTCTTATACCGAATTCCAACTGTTAAGGGTTTTTTACACGTCAATGTGTACACATGAACTCAATTTTCGTCCCTACAAATGTTGTATTGCTCTGGGCTGTTTTATATTGGATATTATCTTCATTTGTCGATTACGAAACAGATCCATAAAACAATGATTTTTAATCTATATCTATATATATACCAATTATTTAAACTTAAAGGAGCTAAATCGCTAATATTTGGGAGCGAAAGAGAGAGAAATGGGGTTTAACGTCCACTCGACACAAACTAGGTCATTTCGGGACTAACATATGGTTTAATTTTATTTCAATAATTCGCTTGCGCGTACGGATCTTTAGCAGTGGGAGGAAACCAGGGATTCGAAACCACCTAATATTTGGGACCTACAAATTGACACAACGCACATATTAAAGATACATTATGGGAGATTAGATAAAGAGCTGACAGCTCCAACTATAATAGTTAAAAACTAGATAATGTAAGGGGTACCGAGAATTTAGCGATTGAATTTTCGGCCTAGCTTCGATCATCATTACTAAAGTCGGTACGATAAAATAACATAGTCTCGATTATTCATTTCATGATTTAATCATGATCGAAGGTTGAGCAACAAATCGGAGCCTAATCCAGTGAATATCACAGGCTAGCGATGACATCGAAAGTTGATTATTTATATAACATTTCAGACCTAAAGAAAGAAAAAACTGCAATAGGCAGATTTAGCTCTTGCATAATGTATGTTTAATGTAATATGAATATATATAAACTGATTTACATTCAATCATTTTCGTTTTTACTCTAATTTCAAATCAGTTATGTTCTGCGAAATACACCAGGGGTCTCAATCAAATGACAATCTCTAGCGTCTGGTTATTCCAGTCTACATCGATAGTATTTATTACGCATGCTCTTCACATAAGAATATGCCGTCACCGTTTGACATGACTTGTCGAATATGTCTAGCCTAATTCTTCGAGTCCCTTGTTACAAATGGCGCTGAAACGCATTATGGTACACGATTCGTGTACCAATGGTAAAATGTTTATTTTGTCTTAAATATTGGATGTCAGAAGCCCATCTTTTCCCAGAAAGATCACAACATCAATGTTGATTTAAATTGACAAATAATTCGTGTTTTCAATGTCAAAGACTTTGAATGATACTGAGTTAGAGACTTAGCTACTTTAATTGCGAACCCGCTTTGGATGATATTGAGTTAGAGACTTAGCTACTTTAATCTATGTATTTAAACACTTAAATTTAACATATTTGATCAATGATAATTCTACGTCATAATTACACTAGACAATCCTATATCAAATATTTTGATGGATGGTCAAACCATGAACTCATTTAACTTTTTACAACTTTTGTTCGCATGGCTGACAGTTAAAAACCACGATAGATATATTTTGAGTTGATATATTTACGTAAGAGTTGTAACGTACCTGCTATAATTGACACGAGTTTATTATAATGACATGGCTGTTTTTTTACAACCGAGGGATAGACCAATTAATATTCATTATACTAGGTTTGTAAAATGTAGAGCCTATTAAGTCAACTGTTATATTTATATAGTAATTCATTTCAAATCAAATAGTCAGTTAGTTCAACGTTCACCATGTGTATTTAAAGCGTATAATCGAATCGTTCTAGTCATAAAACTCCCAGCTTTTAACAACCTCACTGTTATTCGATTTCAGAATTAGTGTACTGTTTAAAATCGAAAAAAGAAGGAAGCTGTGTTTTTTTGCTTTTGATGAAGATAAAACTTTTTCCACTAGTTTGTGAATTTAAATGAAAGTGATATTTTTGACGCAGATAAAATACAATTCAAATAGTTTGATAACATAAATGAAATTGATATTTTTGACGCAGATCATTTGTTTGAGAACTTGAATGTAATGGATATTCTAGAAAAGACGATGATTTCGGTACTTATCGGTTTCTGTTTTATAACTATGCCGATGGTGAACTGTGGTGGAAAGAATGTGGAATTTATATTGGAAACTGAAGCATTTGTGGATGTGTCCTGGACTGTCGATCGTCCACTCGCTTCCGGTAACAAAACAACTCTTTTAATGACCGGAAAACGGATAAATTTTCCATTCTGTTTACGGAAAGAGAGTGCAGTGTTAGTTAAACAAGTGCTGTACTCGAAGGATGATCCAGGGAATTCGCTTACAGTTCAATTCGACGCAGAAACCGTTGCCAAAGGAGAAACGTATGGAAAAACTAACGGTGGCAATCAGTGGAGCGTGATTAACTCGATGAGTCTGGCAGGTAACGAGGTAGTGCTACAACGTGGACGACACATCATGTCTGTATTCCCGGAGTCAACGGATCAGAATGGGGTGGAACTCGATAAAGTTGTCCTAGTAGTTGATGATGATTTATTAAATGAGGACATGTTCACATGTAAGACCTATTGTCTTCCAGAAATACCACAACATAGATATACACCAGTCGAACGTCTCCCAGTTGGACGACTCGTTCAAAGAAGCACCACGACAAATTGCACTGAAAAGAAGAATGTCGTAATGGACTTGTATCACTCGAGTATTAAAAAGTTCCGAATCACCGCCCAGCACCCATCCTACAGAAGTCTCTTGAACGTCCGAAAAGCCAATTATACAAACTGTGACGTTCCTAAGCCTACAATTTGGGAGTTTGGAAACTTCAGTCTAACCGATGGACTAGCAAATAAAGCTTTAGTTGACGCTGAAGGGGTTTTGCTGCAGCTGGAGAAGACCCCAGACGCTGTGGGATGTTTCGATCTGGGAACAAATTTTAACATCACTGTCCAACGTCGGGACATAGATATTCCTCAATTAGGTGGAAAGTTGAGTTTAACTATTAACGGTCATACTTCTGATGTAACAGTTGATAGCCAAATCAAAGACAGGGTAAGTGAATGGATACATTTTGCAAGACGAACAATTCCAAAATCACAGAGCAGTTTAGAAATACCAATAGATGACGGGACCTGGTCGAGAGTCAACAATCAAGTCCAGATGAGAGTCTGTGGCGGTGGAAAGAATTTTGAAATAGAGTCTTGGAAACTAACCAGGAGAGAGCTGAAATCAGACAAAGCAGAAATATTTGCGGATACTGGTGATTTCGCAGCGGAAGCTGTGTTCCGCGATATCTGGTGGATGGGAGATGAAGGGATGAAACTTTCAGTGAAAGGTAGCACCATTGTCTCATACGGACATTATATCAGAATCTACACACGTGTTCCATGGGGAGGTTACTCTCAAACCCTTGTTATTTATCAAGATGGCGTTATACGTCTACTGCCACCAACAATGCACGGCACGGACTGGATCCCCTTCGGATCGTTTGTGCTTACGGGCCGATTTGACCCAAAGAAAAGGCTATCAAGTCACGCGGCGATACAAAATATTGAAATAATACCACAGGAATTTCGTCTGATAGTTCATTACGCCGATGGTAATGTTTGGGAATATAAACTATCAAATGGTCTGGAGAGAACGTGGGTAGACGTTGATGTTAAATCGGAGGGTGCCGTGGAGGAGTTATCTACCTTGCCGTTTATTCAATTCAGGTCAATGTTCGTCAAGGATGGGAGATCTAACGTAGATCGACTGAGCGTCAATGGGTTGAAAGAACACAGAATTTTGGATAACTGGTCGAGTTTGTTCGGGTCCTCGTTTTTCTTCTTCCGTGGCTGTGCTTCTGATTATCACACCCAAGCCCCTGATATTCACGTGGAATTGTTGGGATAGAAATTTGGTTGGTAGTCGCACACACTATCCTTATATAGAAAACTTGCTTGGAATACGCGCACACATTAGCCTTATATAGAACTTGGTTGGTATACGCACATAACACATATGGTAGTATATACACCCGAATATGTATTTAGGATTGATTATGCTTTGTTTTATATATGAAATGAAATGAAATAAAATGAAATGGGGTTTAACGTCCTACTGTTTTGCTCCGACTGTGCTAATGAAGACGGACATACAGTCCCCTATGAGTGAAAATTTTACCGGACAGCGGCACTATGGCCTACTCTTATATCGATCGAATTCCAATTGCCAAGTGCCATCCGAATGACTAGACAGCTGTCCCTGTCAGGCCCTCCGTCCTGCGGTTTTATATCTGAATATGTGCATCTAATTGTTACTGGATTGTCCGTGTTGTATTCTCATATCGTTTGTCTCGTTTGTGTTTTCCTGCGCAGTTATCATGGTTGTGTTTCAAGGTGTGCCGTTGGCAAACAAAGGTTGAGGGCCACTGCAATGCACCAATGTTCTAAAATCAGTGGGAGCTAGACGAAAAAGAAAATCTGTTGCGATATGCAGTTCAAGTGACTGTCATTTTTCTTGTCTTGTTATCAGATTTTATTGTGTAAAAGATGAATTCTCAATTTATCAGGTGGTTGGGTGGTTGAATGGTCTTAGAGCGCGCTTTAGATCACAAGGCCTCGCATTGAGTCAAATGGCATGGTTTCGATTCCCCGCTGGTACACCTGTAGGGTTGCGCGTCAAACCCCGTGACCGTTCTCCGGGTCCTCCGGTTTTCCCTCACAGCTACATACCCTACATGCAAGCGAATTATTGAAATAAAATTGAAACATGTGTTAGTCTCGATATGGCCTACCTATAATGTTTGTGTCGAGGGGACGTTAAACCCCATTGATCATTTAGCCTGTTAAATTATGAATAAAAATCTTTCCATAATTGGTCTTCGATTGGTTAGCTTCAGTTATAACGACAAACACATATGGAAATTACAAGAGCGGTAGTTGGGATATCCCCTCCGGAATGACGTCACAGTCTTTGTGTTGCTGTGATTGGGAAATCCCCTTCAGAATGACGTCATGTTGTTTTACTCCGAGCCTGCATTTAAATTACTAAATATTAAGATCATCATTCGAACGTTCAATATATCACTCGGCATATCTCGGCAAATTCTGTTAGGGTACTGGAATCTACTGAGGTTTGCCGATTGTTTAATATATGTTATACGCCCACTAATAGCCCGAATTAGGAAAGATAGATCGGTGTCAAGCTTATTCCGAGGTCACGTCTCTCCGATGGTTAATGCTAAATGATATGGCCAGCTCAATTTTTCGTCATAGATCAGGCTAGTGCTAATCCCAATCCTAACCCTAACCCTGGACCTAGCCCCAATGCTTGCCCTAACCTACAATCTGGCCAACAATAACGCGCCCTAGCCTTATTTACATCTCGGCGACCTTAACAAAAATTGATCTGGCATAAACAAATAGAAAGCAGCTCACAGGCGGTATGTGGTTTGGGCGTTGTCATGGAGATAGTCTCCAATTTTAACACTCGTACACTCGCGTCGAATACTCAAAAATGTGTTATTTATTTCTATATACATGTAGTTTATTTTTTCTCATGTCATACTTTAAACGTATTCATTTATTTGTTGATTAATAATATACTCTACAACAAAAAGTAGGGGATATTGAAATGCAAATACCTATGCAAGTTGCAATATGATAAATAGTCATGGACACTTGACGTGCTTTGCGAGGGTACACGTGGGAGGGGTTCATTGTCAAATTTGACACTTCAAGGATGGGTGGATGAAAACTGCCCTGTGCTGGTTTATCTATCTATGTTTGCTTTCCTATTGGTTCTTGCATAAGATTAACTGTTTAACTTATCTTTGCTTTAGTGTGTTACGTTTAATTTGATCGGGAGACGTGTTCGTCGACGTCAACGTCAACCGACAACAGTGCAAGAATTGGCCGTGGCACTGCAAGAGAAGTGGGTCAGATTGCCCCAAATCGTGATTGGACGGTTGATTAGGAGCATGCCACGACGAATTGTTGAATGTCTTGACGGTGTATCTCTTTGCGAGTGAAATGGGGCCGTCAGAGAAGCCGTCTACATAAACTGTTTATGTTCATGTGTAGGCAATTGACCTGTTATTAACATACACTGGTTATAAATAATAAAAACAACATTGCATTTCCGCAGTTTTGTTTTGTTTCTGAATATCACCTACTTGTTTTGAGGATTATATTATTTTACTGTCGTCTATTTGATCTCTTTCCTCCTTCTGATCGCGGTTATTTCCCTTGAATTGTACCTCCATCAAAATGAAATGAAATGAAATGGGGTTTAACGTCCTACTGTTCTGCTCCTATACTGGGCTAATGAAGACGGGCATACGCCATACAGTGTGCTATGAGGGAAATTTTGTCCGGGCAGCGACACTATCGCCTACTCTTATATCGAATTCCAACTGCCAAGGGATCTTTTACGTGACCGCCAATGTGTACACGGAACCTCGGTTTTTCGTCCCATCCGAACGACTAGACATCTGTCCTTGTCAGGCCCTCCGTCCTGCATCACTGACAAGGGAGAACCACGCCGGAAAATCTGGATGAACTTTCTCGGCCAATGCAGGGATCGATCACCCGACCTCCAGGCTAGCGAGCCAGCGCCTTACCCACCTAGCCACCGTAGCTCCCGTACCTCCATCAAGCAGGACAACTTCACTAATGCCAGGTTCCCACCGTCATGCTGCATTGGGGTAGGACTGTTCTGATTGATCCCACGACCTGCTACTCGAATACGTTTCGATACGATCAACACGATTGCTACAACTGACCTCAATATATAATAAAACCTGATAGGATCACCACGGTTACTCCACGATTAAAACCATGATTTCAATCGTAGCATGGATCGTAATAGTGGGACCTTAGCATTAGCAAAGTTCCGACTAAGATTCTTTTGTCAAGCGCGGATGAATGAAGAGTCGACAGAGAATACGGGTCGAAACAACGCTCAATAATAAAAAAATATTTCCTTAAAGGCTCAATACCACTCTTGTTGTAACTGAATAATATGTCCCAATCTTTATTCTGGTCAACAAATTGTACTATATTACAATATTCCAATTAATTGGTGATACAAATTTCATCTTAACACACCTAATTTAAAAAATTGGAAAAATTCAACTAAATGATTTGAAAAGTCTAACGTAAACCTTTTCAAATGTGACGTGGATTTAAAAATATTTTCGAACCCTCTGGACAATTAAAATAGGATGTAATGGATAATTTACACAACAGGTAGGACACTTAAACATCTAGTACTTAGGCTATTATTTATTTTTTGGAGCTGTCAAGCCAGCAAGAGTGTTATTGTCCCTTTAAATAGAAATTGTGTATTACCTGTTTAATTAAAACAACTTGACCTGGAGGTCCCCAGATTTCCATCCCTGCGCTGGCCGAGAAAGTGCATCGGGATTTTTCGACGTAGTTCCCCCTTGTCAGTGGTACAGGATGGAGGGTCCGACAAAGGACAATGTATAGTCGTTCTGATGGGACAGAAAACTGGGATCCCGTGTACACAACGACTGCGAGTCTTACAACATCTAGACTGGTCAACAAATCCCGATCTTATAGGTACGTTATCTTCTTTTACCACAAACATGTGAACAATAGCGTTGTCCACTCAGAGGTCGTGGCACAAACACATTCAAATAAAACACGAAACCTTAATTCGATTATCACAGATAGACATTTTAGCTGGTATTCGAGGAATCTGAGGGGTCCCCTGCTGGGCCAGTAGCCAATCGAAATTAGTGACTAAATATGCAGGGTGATACGATGTACGAGTTAAACGTGTTTGTATATTGTCGTCGCACCTGTACTACCGTCCAGTGTGTTCCATTATGAACAGTCGCAAGTAAATTCTGGTCCGAGCTAATTAAAATAAATATTAAAATAGATAGGTATTGTTGAAATTGATAAGAGGGCGAATCCCATAAAAATCCAACAATACTTCTAGATTTATTAACCTTGTTCATTTTTTAGAATTTTGTAAATACTGAAGTCTTCTAGAGATAAAAGTTTGTAGAGGGTGGGGGGATGGCCGAATGGTTTGCGTGTGCACGCTGTATCATAAGGTCTGTCATTGAATGGTTTCGATTCCCCGGTTGTACGTGACAAGAAGTAGGTTCGCATGTCCAACTTCGTGGATTTTCTCTGGGTCCTACGGTTTCCTCCCACTGCTAAACACACCTACGCGCAAGCGAATCATCGAAATAAAACTGAACCATAGGTTAGTCACGTTTTACATTTAACTTTGCCCTTTGATGTATTTTGACTTTATCATTACCGGTATTAAGACTTTGTACTTTTTACACGTAATCAATGGAAAAGACATTTTAGCAGAGCATTTAATATTGGCAGCAATACCCTTCCATAGACGTTAAACCCCATTTCCCACCCTCTCTCTTTTGTAGAGGGTATTATGTGCGCGTTTCTGTTAGTTTCACGAATATGCCTCTGTTGAGTTAATTTCTTACAATCATTATTCCCCTTGTTTACTATTTAGAATCTTGTGAAGGCTATATAGCGTCAACAGTTTGCACCATCCAAATATGTATTTCATTTACACGACTTAAAATAACACAGAAACAAAAATTGATAGCAGGAGCGACTTTGAAACTCGGAATCTAGACACCGTGTCATTATGGTAGAAGGCAACAGTGGGAAAGAGATTAGTGCTAAATGATAATGCCAGCCAATTTCTTAAACCTAACCTACCATCTCGCCACCAATTACGTGCCCTAACCATATTTACATATCAACAACCTTGACAAAATTTGAGCTGGCCTTAACAAATAGATTTAGCCATTTAGCCCTGGCTGTATGACGAAGTCTGCCATTCAAACTTCTTTCAAGTTCCCGGATTACCAACGGCATTGCCCATGACGACAACTCTGAAGAATGTTTTATCATACAAATATTTCAAAGTCTTAAGCTGTTTTTCTTTCAAGTTTGCGCTAAAATTCTACACACTTTGAGAACTTCTTTCTAAAAGCGGCTAGTTTTCTAATAAGTAAACCGGTACCGCATCGCAATTGTATAGGTCTACGTACATATCACATACAGCTGAGGCTAGATGTGGGATACTGGAGTCTGCTGAGGTTTGCCGAGTGTTAATGTTAGATAGGAACTTTTTTGCCCGGAAAACGACCATTCCGCCTAATCTACTACGAATTCTAACAGTCAACGGTTCTTTTACTGTCGCGCCAATGTTATGTTTTTAAATATCTGATATAAACGTGGGCTTTGACATTTTCCCATAAAAACATAAACTGGTACAATTCAGGTCGTAGATTTAATTTCGTCCCGTTTCGGTGTGTTTAAACTTGTTTCGGTAAATTTTGTAGTAACCATAGTATATTTATTTTAAACATTTGAAGTTAAATTGTAATGTGCGTCTTGTATTGAATGTTCTCAAGCACGTGTGTGTTGTCAAGAACAACCAACAAGGTTTAAGAAAGAAAGATCAACCGAGAAAATCCAACAATTCGCCATACTGTGTTTGTCTTCCGCGTTTCTTATATAACAATCATAGCTTATCGCCTTGGCACCATTTTCAAATATGGCGGCCAAATACTAAATCGTCAGCCTTGCCAATAAAATGTTGTAGACCAAGGTCTTCTGCAAAGATTATTTCTTGGTTAAATATGTGTGGCTGCGCGGGATGCTGGTTAATCGTGATGTACTCGGCCGCATTTTAAAGTCTCGGTGCGTCATTAGCATTTTCGCTAAAATATTAAATTTCTCACGGTTTACTCCGCGCTAATATGTACTCAGTTGTTTTTTTGGGACATTTAATTAAGAAAATAAAAATATCAACGCT